CCGTGATAAACGATTCCACGACGACGCATTATTCATGATTTAACCCCTGACTTGATTAGTCAAGACCTTAGAAGAGCAGCGTGTATTAAAGAAACACCCTGCAAGTCCACATAGGAACCGAATGAGTAGCCTTTTCAGGACGATTTGGATCAAAATCAGAAGACTATGTAGCAAACCGCATTTTAGATGACCATTCAGTCTGCTATTTATGATACTCCACCGTTGTTCACTTCTTCATTATACCAGTAGTGAATTGTTTTCTGTTTTGGTGGCTGTATTGCTGAGGATCTTTGTTTATTGCCTATGAATTCTGTAAAAACACCCATATTAATGAGTTTTTAGTAGACATACCTGTAGTCGCTAAGTGCTGACTCCTCTGCTCTCCTAAGTACTAAGTACCGATGCCGTACGGCCAGCCATTCTTTTAACTATTGACTACTTGTGAACATGCTACTTTCTCAAATCAGCAGGCGATGCATAGCAGTCTTTCTGAGCTAGTGAAATGGTTATACAAAAAGTGGTAATCGCAATTGTAGTGATAACAGTGGTAGTAATAGAGACAATGACAGTAACGGTAATAATAATGAATAGCATGAATTTCAGGATTCGTTTGGCGATTACATGTGTCGTATTTCGAATAATTTGGGTTCGGTGTACGCTGTGATTCACGTGAGCGGTGAGTCATCCCGTATATTCATTGAATCCTACGAGAGCCCATCGATCCTTTCGTCGGACTACAAATATATAATTGAATGCGCGCACACCAAAGGTCATTATGAATATACAAAAGATATTTACATGCCATAGTAAAGCATTTAGAATAGCGTCCAGCGCCTAATGTCAACATCTATTCACAGCAGAAACGTGTAGAAATCGTTAACGACTGAATAGGAAAGTGCCTTGTTGAAAAGGTAATTCTAAACAGTGGAAGGATTCTGGTACTCGTACCTTCTATTGATGATGACCTAGGCCTGCAGCAAAACTTTTCCTTCTATCCTGAACAGGGAAATCAGACTACGTTTCGATGTTTGCACAATCAAGGCTCAAGTCAGCATTGCAATGTATAATGGGCATCAATTGTCTCAGAGCGCAAATATACATCAGAATTTAGCCGGAAGGTGTCAAAGACCATGAGCTGATAGAATCGGTTCCATCGTTCTCACCGATTCAAGGGCGATTTGATATCTGAGATCCTGGGCTCATTTGGACAAATTCCAGTAGCATCTTACCTTTGAATATGAGGTTCCCGTCAAGCAGATGTGCTCACCATCTTCTCTTCTTTTTCTTAAGTAATACCGAAATTCAGTTTCAAAGCGAGTTGATGATTTTTACAGGTATCTCAAGATCATACTCGATGTCCTACTTATATAATCTGATAAGCGTATCTGTTCGTATGTTTGTGTGTACGCGTGCGTGTTTGTCCTACTTTCATAACTCATTCATAACGGCTGTCCGACTGGACCTAGAGCATTCAAATTTATTAGGAGTACAGGCGGCAGGATAGGAACACTTATGGTGGGTGGCAGGACTGGATTATGCATAAAGGGCGAGGTTTGCGCGAAAATTTGTACGTAAAAACATGCGCGAAATCGGTGAACGGAAATTCATAACTACTGTTAACCTGGATCTAGAGAGTCCAAATTAGGTAGGAGTTTAGGTGGCAGAATGGAGGCGCTGATAGTGATAGCAGGACAGCCGCCTCAAGGGAGGGTGCGTGCGTGAAAATTGTTAACTTGAGCCAAGGACGTTCAAATTGGATAGGGGTGCAGGCGGTAGGATGGGAATCACTCGTATCACCTGTATTCGACTTCTCCTCGCGAACTTCTCCATCACGCAACTCGACTTTGAGCCATCCATTCCGGTCCCGCGCACGTCGTTTCCATTGTTGGCCGAGCATATTCACCATAGGATCGGCCCCCTCAATTTAGGCCTTCCCGGCGCTCCTTTGTGATCCAATGGGATCCAATTCGTTAGCCGGAAGGTCCATCGATTGTCTTTCAATCGTGCCACATGATCGGCCCATTCTCGTTTACGTTTATAGATTTCCTAGACAACATCAACAAGGCCGCTTCGCTTTTGCAACTCTGTGTTTGTGATATGTTCACGAAGTGACACTTTGCAAATTCTGCGTTCCATTGTTCTTTGCAAGGACGCTTTCACTTCCATCGGGAGGCCTTCGTCTAACAATAACGTCGAGATTTTGCTGAAGCTAGACCGAGCTGCTTTTCTGCGCCTGCTGTGCTCCTCGGTGCTGCCTTCTAAGAAGCTGAGGTGGTGTCCGAGGTACTTGAAGCTTTTTACTTTCTCGTTTTGCCATTTGTTTTGACAATCGCTGTAGGACTGAACTGGTTGTACATCCGCCTCGTTTTTGGCAAATTCATTCCGATCCGATCCGATTTCGCTCGATTTCATCTGTAGGTGCACAAGTTTCTCCCGGAGCTATAGGGCAACATGTGCAAAAATGACGCAATCGTCAGCAAAGAGCAGATAGGTCAGGTGTTCTCCATCGATCTCCATACCTCTAGTCCAGTTAAATTCATTGAACAGGGCTTCCAACGTTAGTGCAAACAACCTACGAGAAATCGTATATCCTTGTCGTACGCCCTTGCATATTTTTATTTTACATGGATCGTAGAAGAGCTTTTTTTTGTGGTACAGCCACTGTTCAGTTCTTCGAGAAGGTCGACATAGCACGAATTACTACCGTATCTGCTCATCGCATTCAGTATCGCGTTTGTTTCGGCCGAGTCGAATGCTTTTCTGTAGTCGACAAACGCCATACATAAGAGAATCCGATACTCTCCACATTTTTCGGTAAGCTGAGGTACGACGTGGAGATGGTCAAGTGTGGAATACTCATATCGAAATCCCGCTTGCTCTCGGCTCATGGCCATGTCCAGGTCTCCGACTATGCGATTTAGGATTATTCTGGTGAAGGCCTTATAGACTTGGGGCAGCAAAGTGATGGGTCTGTAGTTGTCCAGACTCTCGGGATTACCTTTTTCATTAGCAGTATCGTCCGTGATTTCGTCCATGCCGCCGAAATCCTCTTCTCACTGCAGTATCTGCTAAAGACCTGATTATCCACCTGCTTTCAGGTGCTCGGGACTTATGTTGTCGCACCCGATTTTTCCCCGCCTTGATCTGTTTTACTGCATACTCCACTTCTTCCCACATGACATCTTGGATCGGTTCTTCTGCAGCGGTTTGAACGGCTCTTGCGACGACCGCCTTTGAGGAGTACAAGTCGTTAAAGAACTTAGTGCATATTTCGTTCATCCGATGGCGGTTAGTTGTCCTGACACCTGTATTGTCCTTGAGAGCAGATGGTATGTGATGCCTACAGCAAATATTCCTTCCTACGACTTTCAGACTGACCCTTTTCTCAGCTGCTTCGCGGAGATTCTTTTGTCTGTAGCCTTCATGAACGCATTTTATCTTTTCCTTATCGCGTCGCAGAGTTTTCTGTAATCCGCGGTTTGTACTCATCCTTCGTCTTTCATGCGCGCTCTCTTTTTCATCATTTGCACTGAATCTGTCTTAAGTTTTCGTGTCCAGGCTCTCCATGTCCAAAGACGTTTGGCTTTTTTTTTCAAAGAAGGTGATCATCATCGAGGATTTGTGTTGTACTGCAAACTCGGTAAGGCGGTTCCCTCTGTCGTTTCTTACTCTTGCGCCGTACCTTCCGAGAAGGTGTTCCGCACCGTCCAATCGGGAGCCGACTACGGCGCTGAAATCATCTTGAACAATAGTGTACGTCGATTTGAGCTTCGAAGCCCTCTCTATTGAAACGCTCAAATTCGTCGTCCTGTGCTGTTGCAGTGGGCGCGTATACTAGCACGATTTTGAGCGTTCAGTTCCGCAGTTTTTGCAACTTGCTTTAGAACCGCAACTCGTGGGAACTGAATATCGCAAGAAATAACATACGGGGCCATCTTTGCTTTTACGATGAAACCGACTACACCTGTTCTGGACACATTATCAGCTCCTTTTCCTGGCAGGATTTCTTCACGGCTTGACCACTTCGCTGAGACCGCGTGCTCTCATAGTTTCGCAAACACCGACGATGTCGGCTTTGATCTTCCCCAGCTGTTGCAGGTATATGTCTAGGAGAGTGTCCATGATAATGTCCTGACGTTGTGGGAAGCGATGTGTATCTTGATGCATCCGTGTCCTTATTCCGCCCCTGCCTTACGCCGAGGTGTGTGCTCGTTGTGCAGAGTCGGGGCATCCTCGCACGCCCATCTCGGATCCAAATCATACTATTTTCGAAGTTCTTGCCGGTTTTCTTTCGCAGCAGTCCATTCGGGTCGGCAGCCCTCTTGCCCTAAAGCTGCTTTCTTCGCTCGATTGTTCGCAACTGCTTATTCAATATACTCGCACCTAACCGCCAAGGTGAACGGCCGTTCCTCAATCCACAACCTGAGAACGCGCCAAATAGCTTCGAGCGTAAGCATACAGGATGGGAATGCTAATGGGTATTGGCATGACCTGACTCCGCCCTTAAGGGGCGGGGCTGCGAGAAAATTACTAAATCGGACGTAAGGTGTTCAAATTGGGCCTGAGTAGGGGCGGCAAGAATTATGACACCTATGGTAGTTAGTAGAAAGTGGTACAACAGGATCGCGCTCATGGGGCCTAGGGGTTGTGGAGGGAGCAGGCCATGCGTGAAATGAGCGTAAGTTGAGCGAAAACACGCAGCAAAGCCGGAATAAGTGGACCTTGCTACTCGAACACATAGGACTTCAGGAGGACTTCGCTTGTTGCGGACAGGACGCTCACGAAGTGTGTGTATGTGTATGTGTATGTGTGTGTATGTGTATGTGTATGTGTATGTATATGTGTATGTTAACACGAGAAGTAGCAGAGCCCGGTGTCAGGAGGGCGAACTGACTTGTGTAATACATATAACCGTCTTTTGCGCATAGCAGTGAGAAGTGGTATGAAAAGCTATGTAAAATGAAAACTAACCTGTTTTGAAATTAGGGAGGAAGACTAAA